TAACATTTTAAAAATATTTAAATTAATTTTAAGTTATTATCTATTTATACTGTGAACCTAGTGAGACAGTTCAATTGTAAGTTCTTATTGACCAAAAATTAATAACAATAATATTATATGTTAGAAAAAAACACTATTATAATAATCAATTATATTGCAGTGTACGGTTCCGTTAACTAAAAAAAAACTCTTTCACTTTCACAATTGTGTTTTTATCAAAGAACGCTTTCATTTAATTTTTTTTTTATGAATCATTAGCCTGCAGTCAATATAAAAATTAAAACCCATAAACATATACGACTCAACCAAAAAATAAAAATACGATTTAGACTTTAGATTATATACATTGTATATTATACAATTTATAAAGTATTCAAATTAATTTTTAGTATCTGACACGTTATTTGAATTTCCTTTTCTTAAGGATTTCCTGGTGATAAAATTAACCGAATACTAGGATACTTTATACAGATTAGGTTCATTACAAATTCGTGGAAATCATAATATTATTATTGTTGTATGTCTCGCCGAGGGGGGACACCGGAAATACATGTACTTATTTAATTTATATATTTTTCAATAAAACGAATATTATAAGAATTATAACGGCAAAAATTAAAATAATCTTATTCTAATATAATTAATTAATATATTTTATACATATAATATTTATTAAATGTTAACTAAATTGAACGTCTTAAAAATCTATCAAATTCATTAAAAATATAAAAGTCGTTCACGTTCACATTCCATTTGCAAAGAAAGTGACATTCACTATATATGAACGTGAACAGCCTTCTTTCCAAATATTGATATATTGCAATCGAATTGTAGTTATTTATTAAATTTAATGTTCAATAACTGCATATTGAACTGAACAACGGAGTATAGTTAATATAATATGATTAATATAATAATATAAGCTTGGTTTACATCTATAAAACAAATATATTTTCCAGCTATTTTATATTCATCATCTTCATTCAACGAACTTTTCATTTCTTCAAATGTTTCTTTCAAACGCAAAGCAACCTGACAGGCCGCTTTTAGAGGAGTACCTACTCACTCATTATCATTCCGACCCCCCATCGTTTTTATGTAGTTTTATATTCTTATATTGCTATCATAATTATACTTGTTATCATTCATCTTCAATGTTATTTACAGGCTACAGCCAATATCTAAAAATAAATAGCAAAATATTATTCCCCTCTAAGATCCATGGCTCTAACGATAACTGTTATTATTTTTAAGAAATGTAAGCGGTGTCGATTACATGTGTAATGTAGAGGCTACAGACTCATACACAACTGAGTATCATATAACAATTATAGTGAGAGCAGTAAGATATATCTTAATTCTTACTACAAAGCAATCTCTTATCCGCAGTCCTAAATTTGGATTTACTTATACATCGATATATATTTATCTAAAAAAATATTAAAATATTATTTCGTTCGAAGATGGAACGTTAATGCCAACCTGGATTTCGGTATTGCGCCCAGTGTTGGCAACATGCTTAACCCTCTCGTATAGGTAACATAGCAGATATCTATGAAGCTAACCTAGGAGGTAAAAGTGCCAAACCGACACCCGGCATCACTGCCGCAAGAGATAATCCAACCCTAGTTGACTTGATGACAGGTGGCTCTTACTGTTTTTCCAAGATATCTGAACATTGTCTGTAGTTTATTATACGATCCTTATTCAAAGCACTACCCATTTCTTCAAATACTTCTTTCAAACGCAAAGCAATCTGACGGGCCGTAATCACTTGTGAGAACGTTAATGCCAACCTGGATTTCGGTATTGCGCCCAGTGTTGGCAACATGCTTAACCCTCTCGTATAGGTAACATAGCAGATATCTATGAAGCTAACCTAGGAGGTAAAAGTGCCAAACCGACACCCGGCATCACTGCCGCAAGAGATAATCCTACACTAGTTGACTAGATGACAGGTGGCTGTTACTGTTTTTCCAAGATATCTGAACATTGTCTGTAGTTTATTTTACGATCCTTGTTCAACAAACCTCCCAATTCTTCAAATGCTTCTTTCAAACGCAAAGCAATCTGACAGGCCGTCATCACTTGTGAGAACGTTAATGCCAACCTTTATTTCGGTATTGCGCCCAGTGTTGGAAACATGCTTATTGCTTAACCCTCTCGTATAGGTAACATAGCAGATATCGATGAAGCTAACCTAGGAGGTAAAAGTGCCAAACCGACACCTGGCATCACTGCCGCAAGAGAGAATCCAACACTAACTGACTTGATGACAGGTGGCTGTTACTGTTTTTCCAAGATATCTGAACATTGTCTGTAGTTTATTTTACGATCCTTGTTCAACAAACCTCCCATTTCTTCAAATACTTCTTTCAAACGCAAAGAAATCTGACGGGCCGTCATCACTTGTGAGAACGTTAATGCCAACCTGGATTTCGGTATTGCGCCCAGTGTTGGCAACATGCTTAACCCTCTCGTATAGGTAACATAGCAGATATCAATGAAGCTAACCTAGGAGGTAAAAGTGCCAAACCGACACCCGGCATCACTGCCGCAAGAGATAATCCTACACTAGTTGACTAGATGACAGGTGGCTGTTACTGGTTTTTCCAAGATATATGAACATTGTCTGTAGTTTATTATACGACCTTTATTCAAAGAACTTCCCATTTCTTCAAATACTTCTTTCAAACGCAAAGAAATCTGACGGGCCGTCATCACTTGTTAGAACGTTAATGCCAACCTTTATTTCGGTATTGCGCCCAGTGTTGGCAACATGCTTAACCCTCTCGTATAAGTAACATAGCAGATATCGATGGAGCTAACCTAGGAGGTAAAAGTGCCAAACCGACACCCGGCATCACTGCCGCAAGAGAGAATCCAACACTAGTTGACTAGATGACAGGTGGCTGTTACTGTTTTTTCTAAGATATCTGAACATTGTCTGTAGTTTATTTTACGATCCTTATTCAACGAACCTCCCATTTCTTCAAATAATTCTTTCAAACGCAAAGCAATCTGACGGGCCGTCATCACTTGTGCGAACTTTAACGAAAACCCGCATTTCGTTATTGCGCCCAGTGTTGGTAAAATGCTAAACCCTCTTGTATAGGTAACATAGCAGATATCGATGAAGCTAACCTAGGAGGTAAAAGTGCCAAACCGACACCTGGCATCACTGCCGCAAGAGAGAATCCAACACTAACTGACTTGATGACAGGTGGCTGTTACTGTTTTTTCCAAGATATCTGAACATTGTCTGTAGTTTATTTTACGATCCTTGTTCAACAAACCTCCCATTTCTTCAAATGCTTCTTTCAAACGCAAAGCAATCTGACGGGCCGTAATCACTTGTGAGAACGTTAATGCCAACCTGGATTTCGGTATTGCGCCCAGTGTTGGCAACATGCTTAACCCTCTCGTATAGGTAACATAGCAGATATCTATGAAGCTAACCTAGGAGGTAAAAGTGCCAAACCGACACCCGGCATCACTGCCGCAAGAGATAATCCTACACTAGTTGACTAGATGACAGGTGGCTGTTACTGTTTTTCCAAGATATCTGAACATTGTCTGTAGTTTATTTTACGATCCTTGTTCAACAAACCTCCCAATTCTTCAAATGCTTCTTTCAAACGCAAAGCAATCTGACAGGCCGTCATCACTTGTGAGAACGTTAATGCCAACCTTTATTTCGGTATTGCGCCCAGTGTTGGAAACATGCTTATTGCTTAACCCTCTCGTATAGGTAACATAGCAGATATCGATGAAGCTAACCTAGGAGGTAAAAGTGCCAAACCGACACCTGGCATCACTGCCGCAAGAGAGAATCCAACACTAACTGACTTGATGACAGGTGGCTGTTACTGTTTTTCCAAGATATCTGAACATTGTCTGTAGTTTATTTTACGATCCTTGTTCAACAAACCTCCCATTTCTTCAAATACTTCTTTCAAACGCAAAGAAATCTGACGGGCCGTCATCACTTGTGAGAACGTTAATGCCAACCTGGATTTCGGTATTGCGCCCAGTGTTGGCAACATGCTTAACCCTCTCGTATAGGTAACATAGCAGATATCAATGAAGCTAACCTAGGAGGTAAAAGTGCCAAACCGACACCCGGCATCACTGCCGCAAGAGATAATCCTACACTAGTTGACTAGATGACAGGTGGCTGTTACTGGTTTTTCCAAGATATATGAACATTGTCTGTAGTTTATTATACGACCTTTATTCAAAGAACTTCCCATTTCTTCAAATACTTCTTTCAAACGCAAAGAAATCTGACGGGCCGTCATCACTTGTTAGAACGTTAATGCCAACCTTTATTTCGGTATTGCGCCCAGTGTTGGCAACATGCTTAACCCTCTCGTATAAGTAACATAGCAGATATCGATGGAGCTAACCTAGGAGGTAAAAGTGCCAAACCGACACCCGGCATCACTGCCGCAAGAGAGAATCCAACACTAGTTGACTAGATGACAGGTGGCTGTTACTGTTTTTTCTAAGATATCTGAACATTGTCTGTAGTTTATTTTACGATCCTTATTCAACGAACCTCCCATTTCTTCAAATAATTCTTTCAAACGCAAAGCAATCTGACGGGCCGTCATCACTTGTGCGAACTTTAACGAAAACCCGCATTTCGTTATTGCGCCCAGTGTTGGTAAAATGCTAAACCCTCTTGTATAGGTAACATAGCAGATATCGATGAAGCTAACCTAGGAGGTAAAAGTGCCAAACCGACACCTGGCATCACTGCCGCAAGAGAGAATCCAACACTAACTGACTTGATGACAGGTGGCTGTTACTGTTTTTTCCAAGATATCTGAACATTGTCTGTAGTTTATTTTACGATCCTTGTTCAACAAACCTCCCATTTCTTCAAATGCTTCTTTCAAACGCAAAGCAATCTGACGGGCCGTCATCACTTGTGAGAACGTTAATGCCAACCTGGATTTCGGTATTGCGCCCAGTGTTGGGAACATGCTTATTGCTTAACCCTCTCGTATAGGTAACATAGCAGATATCGATGAAGCTAACCTAGGAGGTAAAAGTGCCAAACCGACACCTGGCATCACTGCCGCAAGAGAGAATCCAACACTAGTTGACTTGATGAAGGTGGCTGTTACTGTTTTTTCCAAGATATCTGAACATTGTCTGTTGTTTATTTTACGATCCTTGTTCAACAAACCTCCCATTTCTTCAAATGCTTCTTTCAAACGCAAAGCAATCTGACGGGCCGTCATCACTTGTGAGAACGTTAATGCCAACCTGGATTTCGGTATTGCGCCCAGTGTTGGCAACATGCTTAACCCTCTCGTATAGGTAACATAGCAGATATCTATGAAGCTAACCTAGGAGGTAAAAGTGCCAAACCGACACCCGGCATCACTGCCGCAAGAGATACTCCAACACTAGTTGACTAGATGACAGGTGGCTGTTACTGTTTTTTCTAAGATATCTGAACATTGTCTGTAGTTTATTTTACGATCCTTATTCAACGAACCTCCCATTTCTTCAAATGCTTCTTTCAAACGCAAAGCAATCTGACGGGCCGTCATCACTTGTGCGAACTTTAACGAAAACCCGCATTTCGTTATTGCGCCCAGTGTTGGTAAAATGCTAAACCCTCTCGTATAGGTAACATAGCAGATATCGATGAAGCTAACCTAGGAGGTAAAAGTGCCAAACCGACACCTGGCATCACTGCCTTAAGAGAGAATCCAACACTAACTGACTTGATGACAGGTGGCTGTTACTGTTTTTTCCAAGATATCTGAACATTGTCTGTAGTTTATTTTACGATCCTTATTCAACGAACCTCCCATTTCTTCAAATGCTTCTTTCAAACGCAAAGCAATCTGACGGGCCGTCATCACTTGTGCGAACTTTAACGAAAACCCGCATTTCGGTATTGCGCCCAGTGTTGGCAACATGCTTAACCCTCTCGTATAGGTAACATAGCAGATATCTATGAAGCTAACCTAGGAGGTAAAAGTGCCAAACCGACACCCGGCATCACTGCCGCAAGAGATAATCCTACACTAGTTGACTAGATGACAGGTGGCTGTTACTGTTTTTCCAAGATATCTGAACATTGTCTGTAGTTTATTTTACGATCCTTATTCAACGAACCTCCCATTTCTTCAAATAATTCTTTCAAACGCAAAGCAATCTGACGGGCCGTCATCACTTGTGCGAACTTTAACGAAAACCCGCATTTCGTTATTGCGCCCAGTGTTGGTAAAATGCTAAACCCTCTTGTATAGGTAACATAGCAGATATCGATGAAGCTAACCTAGGAGGTAAAAGTGCCAAACCGACACCTGGCATCACTGCCGCAAGAGAGAATCCAACACTAACTGACTTGATGACAGGTGGCTGTTACTGTTTTTTCCAAGATATCTGAACATTGTCTGTAGTTTATTTTACGATCCTTGTTCAACAAACCTCCCATTTCTTCAAATGCTTCTTTCAAACGCAAAGCAATCTGACGGGCCGTCATCACTTGTGAGAACGTTAATGCCAACCTGGATTTCGGTATTGCGCCCAGTGTTGGGAACATGCTTATTGCTTAACCCTCTCGTATAGGTAACATAGCAGATATCGATGAAGCTAACCTAGGAGGTAAAAGTGCCAAACCGACACCTGGCATCACTGCCGCAAGAGAGAATCCAACACTAGTTGACTTGATGACAGGTGGCTGTTACTGTTTTTTCCAAGATATCTGAACATTGTCTGTTGTTTATTTTACGATCCTTGTTCAACAAACCTCCCATTTCTTCAAATGCTTCTTTCAAACGCAAAGCAATCTGACGGGCCGTCATCACTTGTGAGAACGTTAATGCCAACCTGGATTTCGGTATTGCGCCCAGTGTTGGCAACATGCTTAACCCTCTCGTATAGGTAACATAGCAGATATCTATGAAGCTAACCTAGGAGGTAAAAGTGCCAAACCGACACCCGGCATCACTGCCGCAAGAGAGAATCCAACACTAGTTGACTAGATGACAGGTGGCTGTTACTGTTTTTTCTAAGATATCTGAACATTGTCTGTAGTTTATTTTACGATCCTTATTCAACGAACCTCCCATTTCTTCAAATAATTCTTTCAAACGCAAAGCAATCTGACGGGCCGTCATCACTTGTGCGAACTTTAACGAAAACCCGCATTTCGTTATTGCGCCCAGTGTTGGTAAAATGCTAAACCCTCTCGTATAGGTAACATAGCAGATATCGATGAAGCTAACCTAGGAGGTAAAAGTGCCAAACCGACACCTGGCATCACTGCCTTAAGAGAGAATCCAACACTAACTGACTTGATGACAGGTGGCTGTTACTGTTTTTTCCAAGATATCTGAACATTGTCTGTAGTTTATTTTACGATCCTTATTCAACGAACCTCCCATTTCTTCAAATGCTTCTTTCAAACGCAAAGCAATCTGACGGGCCGTCATCACTTGTGCGAACTTTAACGAAAACCCGCATTTCGGTATTGCGCCCAGTGTTGGCAACATGCTTAACCCTCTCGTATAGGTAACATAGCAGATATCTATGAAGCTAACCTAGGAGGTAAAAGTGCCAAACCGACACCCGGCATCACTGCCGCAAGAGATAATCCTACACTAGTTGACTAGATGACAGGTGGCTGTTACTGTTTTTCCAAGATATCTGAACATTGTCTGTAGTTTATTTTACGATCCTTGTTCAACAAACCTCCCATTTCTTCAAATGCTTCTTTCAAACGCAAAGCAATCTGACGGGCCGTCATCACTTGTGAGAACGTTAATGCCAACCTTTATTTCGGTATTGCGCCCAGTGTTGGAAACATGCTTATTGCTTAACCCTCTCGTATAGGTAACATAGCAGATATCGATGAAGCTAACCTAGGAGGTAAAAGTGCCAAACCGACACCTGGCATCACTGCCGCAAGAGATAATCCAACCCTAGTTGACTTGATGACAGGTGGCTCTTACTGTTTTTCTAAGATATCTGAACATTGTCTGTAGTTTATTATACGATCCTTATTCAAAGCACTTCCCATTTCTTCAAATACTTCTTTCAAACGCAAAGCAATCTGACGGGCCGTAATCACTTGTGAGAACGTTAATGCCAACCTGGATTTCGGTATTGCGCCCAGTGTTGGCAACATGCTTAACCCTCTCGTATAGGTAACATAGCAGATATCTATGAAGCTAACCTAGGAGGTAAAAGTGCCAAACCGACACCCGGCATCACTGCCGCAAGAGAGAATCCAACACTAGTTGACTAGATGACAGGTGGCTGTTACTGTTTTTTCTAAGATATCTGAACATTGTCTGTAGTTTATTTTACGATCCTTATTCAACGAACCTCCCATTTCTTCAAATGCTTCTTTCAAACGCAAAGCAATCTGACGGGCCGTCATCACTTGTGCGAACTTTAACGAAAACCCGCATTTCGTTATTGCGCCCAGTGTTGGTAAAATGCTAAACCCTCTCGTATAGGTAACATAGCAGATATCGATGAAGCTAACCTAGGAGGTAAAAGTGCCAAACCGACACCTGGCATCACTGCCTTAAGAGAGAATCCAACACTAACTGACTTGATGACAGGTGGCTGTTACTGTTTTTTCCAAGATATCTGAACATTGTCTGTAGTTTATTTTACGATCCTTCTTCAACGAACCTCCCATTTCTTCAAATGCTTCTTTCAAACGCAAAGCAATCTGACGGGCCGTCATCACTTGTGCGAACTTTAACGAAAACCCGCATTTCGGTATTGCGCCCAGTGTTGGCAACATGCTTAACCCTCTCGTATAGGTAACATAGCAGATATCTATGAAGCTAACCTAGGAGGTAAAAGTGCCAAACCGACACCCGGCATCACTGCCGCAAGAGAGAATCCAACACTAACTGACTTGATGACAGGTGGCTGTTACTGTTTTTTCCAAGATATCTGAACATTGTCTGTAGTTTATTTTACGATCCTTGTTCAACAAACCTCCCATTTCTTCAAATGCTTCTTTCAAACGCAAAGCAATCTGACGGGCCGTCATCACTTGTGAGAACGTTAATGCCAACCTGGATTTCGGTATTGCGCCCAGTGTTGGGAACATGCTTATTGCTTAACCCTCTCGTATAGGTAACATAGCAGATATCGATGAAGCTAACCTAGGAGGTAAAAGTGCCAAACCGACACCTGGCATCACTGCCGCAAGAGAGAATCCAACACTAGTTGACTTGATGAAGGTGGCTGTTACTGTTTTTTCCAAGATATCTGAACATTGTCTGTTGTTTATTTTACGATCCTTGTTCAACAAACCTCCCATTTCTTCAAATGCTTCTTTCAAACGCAAAGCAATCTGACGGGCCGTCATCACTTGTGAGAACGTTAATGCCAACCTGGATTTCGGTATTGCGCCCAGTGTTGGCAACATGCTTAACCCTCTCGTATAGGTAACATAGCAGATATCTATGAAGCTAACCTAGGAGGTAAAAGTGCCAAACCGACACCCGGCATCACTGCCGCAAGAGATACTCCAACACTAGTTGACTAGATGACAGGTGGCTGTTACTGTTTTTTCTAAGATATCTGAACATTGTCTGTAGTTTATTTTACGATCCTTATTCAACGAACCTCCCATTTCTTCAAATGCTTCTTTCAAACGCAAAGCAATCTGACGGGCCGTCATCACTTGTGCGAACTTTAACGAAAACCCGCATTTCGTTATTGCGCCCAGTGTTGGTAAAATGCTAAACCCTCTCGTATAGGTAACATAGCAGATATCGATGAAGCTAACCTAGGAGGTAAAAGTGCCAAACCGACACCTGGCATCACTGCCTTAAGAGAGAATCCAACACTAACTGACTTGATGACAGGTGGCTGTTACTGTTTTTTCCAAGATATCTGAACATTGTCTGTAGTTGATTTTACGATCCTTATTCAACGAACCTCCCATTTCTTCAAATGCTTCTTTCAAACGCAAAGCAATCTGACGGGCCGTCATCACTTGTGCGAACTTTAACGAAAACCCGCATTTCGGTATTGCGCCCAGTGTTGGCAACATGCTTAACCCTCTCGTATAGGTAACATAGCAGATATCTATGAAGCTAACCTAGGAGGTAAAAGTGCCAAACCGACACCCGGCATCACTGCCGCAAGAGATAATCCTACACTAGTTGACTAGATGACAGGTGGCTGTTACTGTTTTTCCAAGATATCTGAACATTGTCTGTAGTTTATTTTACGATCCTTGTTCAACAAACCTCCCATTTCTTCAAATGCTTCTTTCAAACGCAAAGCAATCTGACGGGCCGTCATCACTTGTGAGAACGTTAATGCCAACCTTTATTTCGGTATTGCGCCCAGTGTTGGAAACATGCTTATTGCTTAACCCTCTCGTATAGGTAACATAGCAGATATCGATGAAGCTAACCTAGGAGGTAAAAGTGCCAAACCGACACCTGGCATCACTGCCGCAAGAGATAATCCAACCCTAGTTGACTTGATGACAGGTGGCTCTTACTGTTTTTCTAAGATATCTGAACATTGTCTGTAGTTTATTATACGATCCTTATTCAAAGCACTTCCCATTTCTTCAAATACTTCTTTCAAACGCAAAGCAATCTGACGGGCCGTAATCACTTGTGAGAACGTTAATGCCAACCTGGATTTCGGTATTGCGCCCAGTGTTGGCAACATGCTTAACCCTCTCGTATAGGTAACATAGCAGATATCTATGAAGCTAACCTAGGAGGTAAAAGTGCCAAACCGACACCCGGCATCACTGCCGCAAGAGAGAATCCAACACTAGTTGACTAGATGACAGGTGGCTGTTACTGTTTTTTCTAAGATATCTGAACATTGTCTGTAGTTTATTTTACGATCCTTATTCAACGAACCTCCCATTTCTTCAAATGCTTCTTTCAAACGCAAAGCAATCTGACGGGCCGTCATCACTTGTGCGAACTTTAACGAAAACCCGCATTTCGTTATTGCGCCCAGTGTTGGTAAAATGCTAAACCCTCTCGTATAGGTAACATAGCAGATATCGATGAAGCTAACCTAGGAGGTAAAAGTGCCAAACCGACACCTGGCATCACTGCCTTAAGAGAGAATCCAACACTAACTGACTTGATGACAGGTGGCTGTTACTGTTTTTTCCAAGATATCTGAACATTGTCTGTAGTTTATTTTACGATCCTTCTTCAACGAACCTCCCATTTCTTCAAATGCTTCTTTCAAACGCAAAGCAATCTGACGGGCCGTCATCACTTGTGCGAACTTTAACGAAAACCCGCATTTCGGTATTGCGCCCAGTGTTGGCAACATGCTTAACCCTCTCGTATAGGTAACATAGCAGATATCTATGAAGCTAACCTAGGAGGTAAAAGTGCCAAACCGACACCCGGCATCACTGCCGCAAGAGAGAATCCAACACTAACTGACTTGATGACAGGTGGCTGTTACTGTTTTTTCCAAGATATCTGAACATTGTCTGTAGTTTATTTTACGATCCTTGTTCAACAAACCTCCCATTTCTTCAAATGCTTCTTTCAAACGCAAAGCAATCTGACGGGCCGTCATCACTTGTGAGAACGTTAATGCCAACCTGGATTTCGGTATTGCGCCCAGTGTTGGGAACATGCTTATTGCTTAACCCTCTCGTATAGGTAACATAGCAGATATCGATGAAGCTAACCTAGGAGGTAAAAGTGCCAAACCGACACCTGGCATCACTGCCGCAAGAGAGAATCCAACACTAGTTGACTTGATGAAGGTGGCTGTTACTGTTTTTTCCAAGATATCTGAACATTGTCTGTTGTTTATTTTACGATCCTTGTTCAACAAACCTCCCATTTCTTCAAATGCTTCTTTCAAACGCAAAGCAATCTGACGGGCCGTC